GAAGCCAAAGCATCCTTTTACTGCAGTTTTACATGTTCTGTGCACTCAGACATTCTAATAGCTTGTTGTGAAATGCTTTTTTTTGCTACCATCTATCAAAACTAATTAGTCAGTACCTTTAATTTTTTTGATTGACATCGGCRAAAAAAAACATTTCCCAACAAGCCCTTGTTTTGGGGTTGCACAGAGAGTATAGGGTTAATTTAGTTTGTTTGGCCACTTTATCTTAAGATATTATTTAAAAAAACTACAAGGCCTCGGTTGAAACACATTTATTCTTTTGGTTTCAAATTCAAATTAATGATATTATACATATATATATACAACAATTGAACTTCAGGCCATCACATATTTTGGGTAAAATAATGCAGGTTAATAATTAGTCATTGCTGAGGTAGCTGTGACATTTTCAGCTCTTTTAATTTCCATGGTGATTTGTGTCAAGTCTTGAATAAATACTTGAATCTGTGGAGGAAATAAAGATTTGTTTGGTAAGATAAGTTATTCACTAGGTATGCTTAAAAACTTTCAGCAGTGTACTAACCTTTTCTAATTGTTTTTCTGTTTGTTCTATAGTACCAGTCTGGCCAAGATGTCGATTGACTAGCATAAACAAGTTATGTGTAGCCCTGGTGAAATAAGATTGATAGTATATTTCACTTTATAAAACTACCTTATACCAACGGCTAGGGCATTAATTAGGTGGGTGGGGCAGGGGCACTGGAGTACAAGAGGGCCAGGCCATTAATTCATAGCAAGAATAAAGCGAGATTGGCTGTTTTAATAAGGTTATGTAAGCAAAATGTAAACAAGGAAGATACCTGTRATGAGGAGAGAGAGATCAGCAAACATTGTGAAACATATCATGAGAGGTAGGAATATTTAAACATGGTGCTCATTGATTTCCAACCCCCCTCCCCCCATCATCAGCCCATGCAACTTAGTTCTGGCTGTCTTAACCAGAGTTCAAGTTGGACTGCAAGCTTGCTTAATTATGTACTGTAGTCTTGTAACTTATAGACTTTAACTGCTGGGGATGTTGCATTCCCTTGAGCGTTATTTTTTTATATTTTGAGATACAACATTTTGAGGTACGCATTTATCTAGGCTTTGCCAATATTGGTAACAGTACATGTATTTATAATTAAGACTTACATTTTGATTCTTCCCAAGAGTAGGGTCTTTTTTGCTGCTGTGTTCTTGATGTGTGTCCACTGGGATTCCCTTTACAATAATTAAAAACAAAAATGTGAATTTCAAACTGTATATCTGGAATATGTCATGCCTGAGCTGGGTGTCTGCTTTGTTGCAGAGAAGCTTGCAAAGTAATGGTTTCAAAACAATCAACTTACCATTTTACTGCAACACTTTGTGTATTTTCAAGTTTTGTTTGTAGATTTGCAAGCTGCAATGAATAGTCAAACCAAATTCATTATAATCACAGTTTACACATTGTTACATTCTCAGGGCTGTCAACTCTCCCGGATAAACCGGGAGTCTCCAGATTTTGGACCGTATCTCCCGGTCTCCAGATAAGAGTCTCAATTCTCCCAGATAATCGCCAAAGCTGACCATTTCTTGTGAGACTCGACTTTCACAACCATAATTAAAATTCCAATTATTTTGTGTTGTTTGTGTTATTTTACATCGCTAACAAAATCAAAACGTTCCTCATAAACTGTTCTTGCAAGCAGGCCATTGTAATATAAGCGATAATCTGATTGGTCAGAAATAAACCAATCACATCAAATGTTACAAAGCGAAAGACGTGTTTTCGCGCGCTTTTTGACGCGCTGTGACGTCATTTCCCTTCCCTATCAATTCTCCAGATTTGAATATCTTTGGAGTTGACAGCCCTGCATTCTTGATATTTGATTTCAATAACTGTATGTTGATTAATGAGATTGGGTGGGTGGGTGGGGGGGAGATCCTGACATTTGATTTGAAGTATAATATTGATACAATACCAAAATTACAGTTTCCAACTGACCTGCTATATAAAATAACCTTTTAACTTTTTCAATATTGATTGATTTATATATATATAAATATGGAATTTGTACCTGATTATTGTAGCCAAGAATCTCATTATTTTTTTCCTGCAAAAAATAAAGACCTTTCAATTAGCATCAAGTTCAGCAAAGCAGTCTGCTTTTCTAGAAAGAGGCCTTATTCATCAAAATTATTCAACGAATTAATTAAAGTACTTATCAAGTTCATACCTCAGTAAATTTAACTAGTCTTGCTTTTTCTTTCTCATACTTTTCTTGGTTCTTTGTCTCTCTTTCCAATAGATCCTTTGACAAAAAAAAMCAACTTTTACAGTTACTTGCTATCATCAAAAAATTTGATGCCCAAAATTTCAAAACAGTATAAATGAATAAGGCCTAAAAAAGTACACAGTACTCTATTTGCTTATAAACTAGTACAAGAACCATGTAACACCTAAATTATAATAGGTAGGACAACATTTTTTCGTAATTTATGTCGCTCTCTATTATATATCCTGTAATGCTAGGCAGACACGTTTGATGCTTTCCTCTCACCCTCTTTTGCCACAACCACAGATTGCCAAGCAAGTCTATCTGCCCTCCCCCCTTCCCCTGATCTTGCTCTCTCCACTTACTTGATGTGTAGCTGTCAATGTGTCATATCTTGCGATAACTTCTCTTATCTCCTGGAACTAATATGATGAGAAGATAACCATGCAAAGTTATTTTAAAACCTTTATCTTACAGGTGACACAGGGAGTTTAATTGCCAAGTCTTCCAGAGAGAGGTTAATCTTTGTACATAAAACTCACTACATTATTAAAATAAATTAACTTTATTTAATGAGGGTGGCATGCATACATTACTGGTAACCCAGTAGTTTACATTATGAACCTCCTACAATTAATTAATTTGAACTAATCAGGAATTGGGACAAATACAGTCTCAGCTAGTCTAAGCAATGAGGCCTTAACTCACATATTGGACTGATTTAATTTTGTTGTCAAAGGATTTTTAATTACTAAAGGCCATGAATTGCTTAATTATTCACCTCTTCAGCATTTTCTAAGACTTTTTCTAGATACTGTTGGTAAATAATGAACTTTTCCAGCTTGTGTTGTATTTTATCTCTTTCTTTGGTCAAACTAGTGATGTCTTCTTGTAGTCTAAAAGACAATGTATTTCACGTGAGAATCTACAAATGTTATGAATACAGTCAATTCTCTTTATAGCAGACACTCTCAGGATTGTCACTTAGCGTTCGCAATGACGAGAATTAATTACAGTAATTTCTTTGTTATTATTTTTGCCTGGGATTTTGCTCCTGTCCGTAATAGGGAGGTGTCCGTAATAATATCGGTTGTCTGCAAGGTGAAAGTTAACTGCAACCTGAATCAACATCTGGGCAGATCACATTTAGTGCACGGGATGGAATGGAACCAAAGAAAATGTCAAATGTCAGGTAAATTGCTTCAACRAAATAGAAAAAGGGTTTTACCTTGCTATTTCCCTGTCCTTAGCTCGTCTCATTTCTCTTTCTTCTGCAGCCTTTTTTAAAGCTCTTGCTCTCTTAGAATCATTTTCCTTGAGGAATATAAAATAAATCAATGTCACGAATTAGAGCATATTTAGACATATGGCAAGTTAAAAAGGTTACATTAAATTATATGAATAAACTAGCTAATAATTATCAGACTAATAATTAGTCTGATCAACGATCCTGATTTGCTTCAATAAGGGGGAGGGAGGTGGTCCAAAATAGGGATCTAATTTATTGATTTGGGTGGTGATGGTGGCAGCGGTGGTGAGTTAATTTGTATATAATTCTATACATAAATGCATTACTTGGCATACTGTGAAACAGACAGTGCATTAATTTTTGAAGATACGAGGACAAATCTTGATAATCAAGAGTATTGGCACATTTGTGAGACAAAATTTGTGTCTGCCCCACCCCCACCCCCATGGGTATTTTTGAGACCAATCAAATCAATATACCTTCAAAAATTTATCAAACTTTAAAAGGGATTCTTTGAGTTGATACTCCTTTCTCTCTAGTTCCTCTCTTCTTTGCTGCAAGCTCTCCATCTTCATTTGAAATTCCTAAAATTTTGAGAAAGAAATAACAGAGTTTTTAGGCATGTTTTGATAGGAAGAAAATATTTGATAAAACAGGCGGTTTTTCACCTCTTTCTGGGCTCCTAAAGCTTGCTCAACTTCACTCATTTCTCTTCTCTTTTCGAGGAGTCTTGTAGCTGGCGTAAGATGATCATCTTCTCGCTCAGGCATTTTCCTAAAATATGGRAAAAAAATACGAGTTTGAAAGAAAGATCACGATTCAAAACAACACAGTCAAATTTTGAACCAATTTTCAGTGTCGATTTTTTGTACTTACACGAGGAGTTTGTCCTCAAAAGTGGTCCTGAAATACTCTTCGAGGTTCAACATCATCGTTTTGAATGATCTATTTCGAATAAAATATAAAAACTACAATTTTAAGAAAGGTTTTCTATTCTCTTTACGAGAAGCAAAATATCGATCAAAATGGCTGCGCTTACTGTTTCCATGGTAACAGCAAACCGCGGTTGAACGCGCACGCGCGCCCGGATCAATTTTTCCCAGAACCCTTCTTGTCTTTTACAGCCGAATGAAAAATTTGACAGTAGTTATTAGATTATGTTCAAATTTTAAATAACATAAACTTCCATCAGAATTATAGCTAGTAGTTGCAGTAGAAAAAAGCCAATATTATTATTTASCCCTCCCCCGTTTTTTTGTTAAAAATGGAGAATTTTTTAATAGCCAAAGCTTTCTCATTTTTTTGTCTTACTTTTTAACTTAAAAACTCATTTTCAGATAGTTATTCATACTAGTATTCGTAAAAAGATATAACTAGCTAAAAACTAGTGTGAGCTGCGTCGGTGTTTCTAATGAAACAGTAATGATGAAAAGGTAAATTATACACCGTGAAAAGATGAACAACTTACTGACGTTTCGGACGCTAGTCCTTCGTCGGAGTAAAAGAGAAAGAAGTGGAGAGTGGAGAGAAGTGGTTCTTTCTCTTTTACTCCGACGAAGGACTAGCGTCCGAAACGTCAGTAAGTTGTTTCATCTTTTCACGGTGTATAATTTACCTTTTCATCATTACTAGTATTCGTACAGAATTTGAACTAAATGAAAAAAAAACTGGAGTGATGAAAACGAAAGAGCAAAAACTTGTAAAGTAACCAATCTAATGGGTATCATGATTACAAAAACAGCTTAGTATCATCAGATTAATTTTAAATACTTTTAAAATGTCAGAAAAAATAGTTTGAAAGGAATAAAAGAAGGTCAATATAAATCATTTAAGAAGAGGCATTACCCATAGTGCTTTGCTGCATTACTAATACGAAATATGGCGGGCAGGAGGAGGAAGGCGCGAAGCCCTTCAAACCTTTCAAACCCTTTTTTATTCAAAACCTTACGCTAAAAACCACTGAATTTCTTATATCATGGAGGTGACAACTCTGGCTTTGTGGGTTCGTGCTGAACCGTTTGATTCTGGCGCCATTCATAGCCCATTACCCCCAAAACTAACGCTTCATGTAAGTAAAACTCTTCTTTGAGACCATAAAATGCTCGCTCACTATCAACTAAAAACTAATTTTTTTTCGTAAAATTTGCCAAAATTATACGCTGAATTATACGAAATTTAATACTTATACTGCCACTTGTACATTTGGTAATACTTTGGTTTGTTTTCCTATATGTTTGCAGGATGTTTTGTCCTGTTTTATTCAATGTTTATGTTTGGATTCATCGTTAATCGAGTTGGCAGGAAGTTTGGATGTGATTAATACAGATAACATTTTCTCTTTGTTTGACAGAATCTGCACAAATTGTGTATCTACTCAAGGAGTAAAGGCAAAGCAGGCTTTCCTAGCATCACGTAAGAATGGTTTTCAGGCTTTTAGTTGTTTAGAAATGGAAAGCACTATTAAATATTCCTTGGTATGGACCAGCTTCAGCATTTTGGACTCATTTCTAAGGGTGTAAACAAAAGCATACAATCCGAAATGACAGCTGTAAATAGTCTGCAGCCAAACTCTTGTAAGGGGATGGGGGAAGGAGGTAATGGTGGGGATGCAAAAATTCAAATACGATGGGGAAACTTCAAAACTCAGCTAAGGAATATTATATCCTAAGAATTGGGATGACATTTTCATTTAACTCAGTAGAACGATTACGATTCAAAAAAAAGTGGTTTTCCCCACTTTGTAATATTGTTCAGTATAAATGCAATGAAAGAAGGACAACTATACCTCATTTTGACGTTTATGTACCAGTCTTCCACCTATCTTCCAGAGATAGGAATATGGTGTATGTTGTTCATTTGTATTTCTTTTTAAAGCTATTCTCTGTGGAAACATGTGGCTTGTAACAAGCTGGGGATATCCAATGATCAAGCTTGGATGTGAGTACTAAATTATTACCTATATATATATATATGTGAGCTCCCACACACAATGCCTGGAATGATACTAAGTTTTGGGAAGATGACCTTCGAGATGGAAGCCAGCAGGTATCTAGCAGTGGGAAGCTAGTTCAATTTATCACCTTGGGGAGGTGGGTGGGGACGTCAAGCAGGTCTTGTGCTCAAATTTTGAACTGGTTCAATGAGAAGGCACATGAGAGTGGAAGTTGTAATCTACCTGGAATGGCAATCCTCTGGAGAAATATATCAAATGTGTGATATTTGCTGAGAATCTGTAGTACATAGATGTTTTTTTCTATAAAAAGGTGAGGTTGGGATCACTTGTGGTAACACATTTTCTACTTTTTTCTTAATTAATTTTGTAGGTATTTTGAAACATTTGACATGCTTACCCAATCAAGCTTTAAGGATTCCCGTACCTGGAAAAGACAGTATCTACACTGCAAAACCCAAGAAGAAATAGGTATTTTGTAATTAAAATTTTGATCCATGATAAATTTACTAAATGTATTCAATGAAAAGAATRWCAGAACATGAGAAAAGTGTTAGGAGAAGAAATAARCGTGTGTGCATATGGCATGAGTGCAAATGTTCTACTAATCAATATATATATACACAATACAGCACAGCACAGTAAGGCCAAGGGCAAACGTCGAACTTTCCATGCACCGAACTCATTAAAAACAATGGATATCAGGTGATAATGAGGTGGCATTCTTTTATGTAATTAAGTTCRGTGCGTGGAAAGTTCAACGTTTGCCCTAGGCCTTAGCAAGTTTGTTTCCATTTTGTTTATAAAATTGTAATTAGAATTGCCATTATTTTGAACCACTGATAATAAAAAAGAAAGTGTGCACGCATGCTGTGTGCTCTCATGATTCACTCTCCCCAAACCAATGAGAAATCAAAATTTATGACAAGCATTTAATAATTCTATATTTTCAGAAAATTTGAGGGACTTGATGTCAGTTGACACCTTGCAGTTCGTTCTATTCTTATTTATTCAACAAATTCATAAAATTTCCTTCAAGGCTTCTCTTGTGTCTGGAGGTGAAGAGTATCCTTTTCTGTCAGAAAAAAATATTTTTGTCATGCTATTTCTGTTCAGAATAATTTTGATGTGAAATGTGAGACATTTCAAGGTTTTTCTCACTGTTTTGTAATTTCCAACTTAATTTCAATAAATTTTATTTTACCTTATACAATCCATCCATTAATTGTTTTGTTCGTTCACTTGTTCGTTCGGTTGTTGGTTCTCTCCTTCATTCATTCATTCATTCATTCATTCGTCTTAAATCATTTCAGGAAAACCATACTTATGCTTATAAAATCTTTCCATATTTTCTTCCTCTTTTGAACAAAACCTGTTTCTTAGTTTCTTAACTCACTTTGAAGATGGCCAACTCATTCCAGATCACCAGACTTGGATCACAAAGGATCAATTGCCATCAAGGTAAGGTGTTAAAAAAAATCTATTGACCTGAATTACTCATTTAAAATTGTTTCGTAGTAAATTCAAAATAGGTCCTAAAACTGACCTTTGAGGTACTCCATAAATAAACAAATTGCAGCAGACTCTTTACCTCAATTATTGATAAACTCTAAACTCAGTACTGTTGGAGCCAAGTTCTAGTATATATGGTGTATATGATCGTTTAAAAATTATATATTGCATTGTGTTAGTAATTGACATGCTACATGTATATGACGTCTTGTTTTATATTATTTTTCTTAGAGTCTTGATGAACATGACTATATGATGTTCATTCTTCATCATCTTAATGAAATTCTTGAACTTCTTATGGAGCCAGGTATTTCTTTAAATATTTGTGTTTCCATATTGTGTAGTTCCAGAAAATATTCATATTCCACCACGTAGGAAATCAGAAATTTCCCAGGGGTGGGGACCTTTTTAAAAATTTAATCCATGGTGGGATATGGAAATGTTCTGGAACCTTTTTAGAGTATGCATTAACAGTTAGGTCCAATATTGAGTTTTTCCTTTCTTTATATTTCAGAATCCACCATGAACTCAAACACAAGTGAATCCTGTTTGACTCTGGAAGCTGTGGATGCACTAGGATTTTTGTTTGTAGGTACAGTGGATAGCAAGTGAGTAATAAGTCTAAGAAATCTTTTTGTCCTTCTTGGTTTTCTTAGTTTGGCTGTAATTTGCTCAATATAAATATCATTAAAAGCTCGTTTTTGGGTATTTTGGTTTATCAATTTAATTCCTTGCTTGCAGAAAAGTCCAACCTCTTGAAGAGCTGGCAAGGATACAATCTGAAACAAGTAAAAGTGGCTATTCTAAAGTAAGGATTAAAAGTTTGAAACTCTGGGATTACAGCAGTGACTTTTCTTTTATCTTTTTACTTTTCTTTAGGAAAATCTTTGGGGTAGGGGGAGGGGGAAGGAATTCCTGGAATCTCCAAGATTCAAAATTTACAAAGTTAACTCAGACTTATCTTAAATTTAAAGTTGCACAGAACACCCCCCCCCCCCTTCCTAAAAAGGTGGATAAAAAAGAAGGATTCTTTAGTCTGAGCTGGTCTGTCCTGTGCCTGGCCAAGTATTTGACATGGAAAGTGTTAAGCACTAGGATGTACTTCTGTTTGGGACATTCCTGTAGGTCGGAGTTCAAATGGTACACTACCCTTAACCCATACAATGTCAATGCTTCATGAACTAAACGTACACATTTTGTAAAAATTACTGTACAATTACCTTACTTTTCAGATCTGCAGGACATTTTCATTCCGTGATTTCCAGAGTTGGTTAAGATCTAATTTGCAGATCAATCCATTTGGAGTGTCAGTAATCCTGTCACATGGTAGTAAGCACAAAGGTAAGAATTGTATTGGATTGGGATCAAAAGTGGTCAGAAAAATCAAGTAGAGTAACAACATTTCACTTATCTCTTATTTCTGGGGTCTGTGATTCAAATCCTGGACTCAGCATTGTCAAGTCCTTGCTGGTAGGGGTTTTCTTCAGACTCTCTAGTTTTCCTAACTCCACAAAACCTAACCAGATAAATTTAAATTTAAATTCAATCTGTAAGTTAGCTATGCCATGACTTTAATCAGTCCAGAGGTTTTTAGCAGCTAAATATAATTTGATATATTTTTCATGTCAAATGAGGTTGTGACTAAAAATAAAACAAACATGAAATAAGGGTTTCTGTATTTTTTAAATTGTGTAGTTCCAGAAATCATCCATACCCACCCCACAGAGGAATTTGGAATTTCCAAAGAGTAGGGGGGTCAGAGAAAGAACAAAAATTACAGAGTTTGTATGGAAAAAAATTGGAATTTCTGGGGGGTAGGGGGGTGTCTTAAAAAAATTCCTCCGTGAGGGGGGTATGGATAATTTTTGGAACTACACATTCTTACAAAATGTTATGCTCTATTAACAGATATTTTGAGCCTCAGTGATACGTTTGATGATCACAGCATAGTAAAGCACAGAGAATCAGATAACAAGGACCCCTCACTTAAGGGAAGGATCATGAGTAACATTATCTATGCACCAAAGAAGTAAGTACACATAAAAAATCCCTCCTGTTATGCARTTTGAATTGTGCGGAAAATGTCACAGTTGGATCATTCAAAATAGACCTTCTCAGCTAGGGTATGTGCAGGCATAATCATGTCCTCATGAATTATTAATGCATTTTATAAAAAATATATATATAACTCCTTGGCTGGGTTTCCCATCTCATATCATCTGTCATTCCCAAAAGTATCATTTATTGCGCTCAGTTGCACATGAGAAGACATATGAATATGGATACAACTCAAACAAAGAATCTTATTCTCAAGGGAATGACACATGGTCTGAAATGGGAAAAYATCACACCCTAGCCAAGGAGGTCTATTATATGTTTATAAAATTTATTAATAACTCTGAGGACAAACAAAGTAAATCACTAGCGCAAAGGAGGTTTGAAAATGTGATCTTAATTAAATAAAATCTGGGAAACTTATGATTTGAATTTCTACAAGAATTATTTATAGTAGTTTGAGAAGCCACATCAAGCATGTGAAAGAGTATTTCACTCTTTATCCAATTGCCTCAAATTGTTTTTTCAGATTGTTTTTTCAACTCACTTCTCACTGTTTGGAAATCAGATGAAACACACTTTTACTCTTTGATATATAAATACTTTGAATATTTCACTCTCTTTCATGCTTGATATACAGTATTACTTCACATATTCCACACTCTTTCATGTGTTCGATATATTTCACAGCTTAAAGCTTGTCATCATGTCTCAAGTTTGTAAACAGACTGTTGCCAAGGTATAATAACATTTTTTTTATGGATTCAAAAATTCCTTTTATTTTGTTTTGTTTCCCATCCATTCTCTCATTTTTTCATGCTATATATTTTTTCATACTATTTTTTTATCCAGGCTAGCGACATCTATGCTGGCAGTGATGTCAAAATACACAGATGTCATTACTCATACATATATATCTTGTGTCCACTAAGGTATAACCAAAGAGAAAATAGTGCTATATAAGTGAATAAATTATTATTCTGGTCCCAGTTGTATGAATGGTTGATAGTGCTATCCACTAGATAAATCGGACCTTATCCAGTGGATAAATAGATGCAGTTTCCAATAAATTTATTCACTTGATAAGATTTATCCATCCGATAGTGCTATTCATCCCTCATACAACCTGGCCCAGATCATTGTGTGAAAATTATTTTACTTTACTGTAAGTGTTAATATTTTTATCCAGGTCAGTGACAGTACAAAAATGTCACAATTCTACAATAGTTCTTGGATGTGTCAAGACATTGGTCAATATTATTGCCTGTGAGAATGTGACTTTTGTCATGGTCTGTAACAGGGTGGCCATCAGGTGAGAACAGAACAAGAATGGTATTTGGGAGCTGACTGGGATGAGGGAAGGGGCAGAGGAGGGTAATAGGAAGCCACACGACCCCAAATCAGTGTTGGTAGGGTGTCGATAGAGTGTCGGTAGGTTGTTGAAAGAATATCGAAGGTTGTCAGTAGGATGGCGGCAAGTTAGTGGTAGAGATGCTGACTCCAGGAATCKAACCTGAGACTAGATATAAGAGGCAAATGCACCACCCCTACGCCACCCTAGATTTCCTTGATTAAGAGAGGGTCTCCTGTCCCTTTTAAAATCATATTTCTCATAGGCTCAGCCAACATATTTTTCACTAATAGACATCTAACTTGTTTCTTGTTTGTTGCTCCTTGCAGTGGATGTGTAAACTGTACCTTCCACTTATGTTGTCCTACCAGACCATTGATCCTGACTGGTAATGAGAACCTCACCTTGGCACCTTATCATACCTTCTATCCCAAGCTGGAGGAACATCTGAAGAGTGAATGGGGAGTGATTACGACTACTAATGAATGGAATAGACCTTTGCTGTTAGGTAAGAGACTGCCCTCTCCTTGCCTTGCAGGCTATTATTGCTGAGGTAGCTGTTGTTGATGTTGTTGATGTTGCTGCTGATGCAGTAGCTGCTGCTATTTCTGCTGCCTTTGCTGCTGGTGATGTTGCTGCTGGTGCTAATTTTGTTTTCCTTGCTGCTGATTCTGCTGCTATATCTTTGCTGCTGCTATTTCTGCTACTTTTGCTGCTGCTAATCTTGCTATTGYTACTGTTGCTGTTTCTGTTGTTGATGCTGATGATGATGCTGTTGCTATTTCTGCTGCTGTTGCTGCTCCTGATGTTGCTGTTGCAGCTGTTGTTTTTCCTGCTGCTGATTTTGTAACTATATTGTTGCTGCTATTGCTGCTGTGGATGTTGCTGCTGCTATAGCAGCAGTAGCATCAGCAGTGGATGTTGTCTCAGCTGTTGTTATTGATGTTATTGCTGTTGCTGTTGTCTTTTGTTCCTTTTAAGTTTTATACTGTTGACCATCCTGTTTTTGAGGGCGTTGTTCCAATGTGATACTTTCTTTGTCACAGGTAACGGTCATTCAGAGATTCTTGAAGTTCAGGACCCACCAGATGTATATCGTGAGCTGCCTGTACAGGAATTCTTTACCTTCAACATACCATTCAGTATGAAAGGATCTACTGAGGTAAGTGCACGTTGTCCCCCTTGTGACTTTAGCCAGGCACACAAATAGAAACAGATTTGCCTATGTCATTTTATACACCCTTGACTTCAGTATTCTCAAATCGCAAATTCACATAAATGACTCATTTTGACTTATACTCCTTAAAATTTGAAGTCATTGAAATTTGAAATGTGTAGTTCCAGAAATTATCCATACCCCCCCCCCCCCTCACCGAGGAATTTCAAATTTCCATACCCACCACAGAGGGAATTTGTTAAAGGACCCCCCTACTCCCATAAACTTCCCATATTCTTCCATTCAAACTCTGTAATTTTGTTCTTATTCTGACCCCCCTTTCCTTCAGAATTTCCTCTGTGGATGGGGTGTGGATATATTCTGAAACTTTCTTAATTATTGCTGTTAGATAATTCATAAATATATGTTCTCTATTTTGCCAGGCATCACCCATTCCTCTACCAAAAAAATATGAAGACGCTTTGCAGGAAAGGGAAAAGTAAGGGGAATTGCAAGGGATTTATACATGTTACTTTTCCTTCTATAAATAAGGTTTTCGTTTGAACCCTATTCACGTCCATGGTGTCTCCATGATGATGTGTACTGTAACCATACTGTGTTCATAATTTCTATTCTGTTTTGTTTTTCAGTGTAATTAACAACTGGTATCAAATGGTCAAGAACTTGAGTCTTAACAAACCACAAAGACAACAGTTACAAAGTGTTGTCCAAAACAGATTTCAGGTATGATGATAATAATGGTGATGATGGTGTAGAAATAATGATGTTGATGATGATGATAATGATGATAATGGTGGTGGTTGATTTCATCCAAATAGCACGACAGGAACTGTTTGTCTGTCATTGAAGTTGTCTGTTATTTAAGACTGGTAATAATTTAATGATTCACTCCTGTATTTATTATACCCAGGAGTGGTTAGCTGACAGCAACGAAGCCAGTCAACTCAATGGCCTGGTTCCATCGGCACATACAAGCAAGCATTGATGATAAACAAAGTTGCACATGACATTCTTAATCACGGTAGGGCATTTATACACAAACACTCTAAAGCAACCAGCTAAACTAAGAAGAAAGACATGAAAAAATATTACCGTTGATTGCCAGCAAAAAAATTAGTAGGTCTTCCTTTATACTCTCCTACTTTTGGAGCAATAAAAGAAATACAAAAATATAGTCATGGGCTTCCTGTGGCATATTTTAACTTGAAGTCTTCCAAGATTGTTCAGTAAAGTAAGAGTGACATTTTATAGATTTAACACTTGTAAAGTCGTAACATATTAGATGGAGGGTTCATAGACCTGGGCCCGGTTGTATGAGGGGTGAATAGCACTATCCGACTGATAAATCTTATCCAGTGGATAAATTTATTGGATAACAGCATCAACTTATCCACTGGATAAGGATTTATCCATGAGATAGCGCTATCCACCCTTTGTACAACTGGGCCCTGTAGACTTGATTTCTTGTATCTAGGGACAATTTGCATTTTGGCAGGAAAAGTTCTAGCAATCTATTCTTTCCTGCCAAAAGCCCCTTTAAAATCCAGGCAATTTTTATTCAGAATGTCCCAATCAAGTTTAAGTATCTTTGAAATAAGAAATACATTATGTGTACAAATTAACAATATTCACTAGAGAAATTTGTTATTTTTATCCAAATTCAAAACCAAGGGTTTGTAAATAAATTTAATGGTAGGACAAGCTTGACATCAAGTTTTATTTTCTTCTTATGTTTATTTTCTTTTTTCTAAGTTTCTTTTCTTTCATCCTTTTATCCTTTCTTTCCTTTAACTATGCTGTATTTACTGAACATTTATTGGTTCAGCTGTTAAACATTTAATACTTGTCAAACAGAAGAGACATCCTTGGGGTTGGTCACTCAATGTTCTTGAGATAAATGTTGCATGACAAGGTGGCAACCCTAATGTGTCTGCATAGGGGGCTAGGATTTCCTGAGGATAGGAACTTGTCTGATCTGTGAATTTATGTCCCTTGTGTTTTCTGCGTAGTGAACCTATGAACAGTCTGCACTCCTTAGGAGTTTCCTGCTAATCAAGGTAACGTTGTGCAAACTTCTACGCAACTATTCTCCCTCTGATCCTGATTTTAGCCTTGTCCTCTGAACTTACGAGGATACTTCATGCTGTTTCAACACAGATATTCTAACAAGCTCAGCAAACGTTTTTTCTACTAGTTCACAAAGTTTGATGTCTTGTGAATGACTGGAGGCCTCTGTGTCTTTGTTTTCTGAAGTTTTTACGATTTGATCATAGTTGGCGTCATCTGTGAAGCCGTGGTCTTCATGGTCAGTAGTTACATCTATATTTTCTGCTCCCAAATTTATTCCTTGGGAAAGACGCTCAAGTAGTGAGTCGTAGGATCCTGCATAGGAATAAAAAAAATGAATGGGTGATGAGTAGGTGGATGAGTAGGTGGATGAGTAGGTGGGTGGGTGGGTGGATGGATGTAGGGATGTAGGGATGAATGGATGGATGGGTGGGTGAATGGGTGGATTAATGAACAAACAAACAAAAAAATATTTCAATGCAGCAATTTCAAGAAAAACAAAATAGTTACCATATTTCGGACTTACCAATAACAAAGTTTGTGGTGACTTTAGCATGAGACGCAGCCACTTTACCAAGCTGCACCAAAAAAGATGTGGCCTCAGGATGCAGAGGAGGGAAGGCTCGACAAAATCTGACCAAGGCTGGTAAGGTGGGGATGAAAAATGATGCCCTCTTGCTACTTGGTAATGCAGCCAATAGCGATGACAGGCGACTGAGTACATACTTGGCCACACCCATGGCCTTGGGGAGGGGGTACTGGAGGCAGAGGTACGAGGCTAGTTGAATAGCAAACAGCTGGAATGAAAGAAATAGAAAATTAACTTATTCGATCTTTATAAGAAGACAGTACTAGACTGTATTTTAGGATGATACTGTATCTAAAAGCCCTGCCAAGATCTTGGCTAGCTGCAATCCTATACACCACAAGGTCAGTGCCAGTTTGTCTTTGAACTTGTCTTTTATGGGAAGCACCAGTAGCGTGCGCTGCTAATGCGCCGCCTCTCACCAATGCGACCCGGGTTTGAGTCCCGCTGAGCTCAGTGTCGTATGTGAGTAGAGTTGTTTGTTGGTTCTCTCCTGTGCTTCAAGGTTTTTTCTCTGGGTACTCCAGTTTTCCTCCCTCCTCAAAAATCAACTACTAAATTCTAATTCGATCTTTGGGCTTTCACCTAGTTTGGAGCCTTTGTGATTGTCCCACGCTGTGATACAACAGCTAAAGCTAGTAGAACTTGAAGGGTCACAAAATATTTGGATCATTTAAGTCTCCCAAACCCTGCATGCCTCCCCCTGTAGGGCCTGCCCTCGACAAAGTAGGAGTATACCAAAAGACATTTACCAAGCTTTCCAAGGACAAGGTCAGACGTGTCTTTACCTGTTTTTCTATTTGCGGTTGGTTAACAAGTTCAGGAATGAAGTCCAGACAAATGTGCATTGATGGTACTCCTGCTACTGTGACAGGTAGTAGTTTGGAGGGATAACCCTGCAAGATATCATCAACAAATGGAAAAGAATACTGAGAACTCAAGCTGGCAAAGAATATGATGGGGATTTTAAAACAACAGCATTTTTTAGAATAATATAGACCCCGTACAGCACTTTGGAATGCAGTTCAATCTGGGGGATAAAACAATTCTCAGGAGATTGGAATTCTTTTGTTTGTCCTCCAGATTGAGCTGCTTTGACGTCACATGCAAGGGGTGCATCATGGAGGGTCCATGTTATTTCTATGAGAGTGATAATATCATTTATTTATCCTGGATACATGCAAGGGATGGCACGATGTGAAGCACAACAAAATAATAGTAAGTTGTTAAATAAACCACCAAATGGTTCAGCACTGGCTGATGATAAGTGTTAGAAAGACAGGAGGGAAATACCTGAAAGTGAACAAGCTTAGCTATGGCAGGATCAGCTATGAAGATCTGATGTAAGGATGAACAAACACGACACTGGATCTCTCGAAGTAAACATGCATCCATGCTGTTCCCATCCTAGAAAATAAACATTAAACAATATAAATTTGTTATTATATAAAACAAGACATATAAATAAACAACAAAGCTGTAAACTAACCTGTTTAGCTAGTTTAACTAACTTGTTCATCAGCTTCAAAATTGTTTAGCTGTGTTTAACTTAAGTAAACCTGTTTATCTAGCTCAACTAACCTGTTTACCTGCCTTAAGTAACCTGTTTGTCTAGTTTAACCAGCCTGTTTAGCTTAAATAACTTGTTTATCTAGTTCAACCAATATTTTAAACTAATTAATCTGACTGAGCTTGCCTATCTAGTTTAACCAACCTGTTTATCCAGTTTACTAGGAAGACAAATCTCCAGTAATAGCTGTATTGCAGCACTCTCCTGTGCAGCAACTAAAGCTATCCTCAGTTCTTCTCGTTCCTGTTCCATGTTGCAGTTAGTACTGCTGTAATTACTGCTAGAGGCTCGCTTAGTGACTGGATTGGCTTGGAGATGCTGGCTGAGCATTGTACGCGAAGCAGCAAGGTATCCCCGAAGAATGCGTACTAGAATATCGAAAACTGGTGGACATCTGAAAACCGTAAATATGAAGATATTATTAGGTGCGATAAATAAGCCAAAATACATGCAGATAATTCATAAACAGATCAAGGAAAACATATAAAAGCAGTTTAATCACAAAACAGATGAAGGAAATCATCTGTTGGTTACCAAGTCAAGTGTTAACAAATTGACAATTAACGAATTGCATTGCCAATCTTGAATTTTTTATGTTCAAAAAATAATTTTAAAATACCAAAATCATTTTATTCTGTAAAATTTTATTCATTCAATTTTTATTCAATAGACTTTGTAATTTTTTGAACCTTTAAAGGTTGATTTTGTGGAGGGAGGAAAACCAAAGAACCTTCTTTCCCATATAATCACAGAGAAAAATCATCACCCCCTCCCTCCCCAATGCAAAACTAGAAAAAATTGTTGACATCTACCTGAAAATCCTCGGACTACATCTGAGTACAGTAAGAGGGTCGCGTATCAGATCTTCGTCTGTGTATGAGGACGGTCCACCATCTTGACACAAGACATTTATAGTAGCGAGCCAGAGTCTGATGAGCAGGGGAGAAAACAGAAATATAAGAATTTTTGAAATAAAAAATATAGCACAAGTTAAAATTTTCTTATATATTCTCATACACATATTTTCTTATATTATTGACCTACATGAGGCCAAACACAATGGAAGTGAATGTAAGAAGAAATGAAAGAATGATTTTTGATTCTCAATTCAGCTTGACAAATCTATAATAAATTATCCTGTTTCTTTTCTACCAGCAATACTACCTTGAGATGAACCATTTTAGAATATACCATTTCATAATGTAACGTAGCATTCCCTTGACTACGTTTTTAGTGTGTGTAATGGGAAAGGGGGTGGTGATGCATATAGTGGATATATAGTGGAAAATATAGTGAATATTACAAAAAAAGTGCCCTTCCCTGTTTTTCTTTTTTACTTCATAATTACTCACTTCCTTGGTATAACAGTACTTATTTTAGACCAGAGTTCGCAGCAGAGCATCTGTACTCGTCTAGGAACAGAGGGTAGTACTATCGAAGGTAGAGCATTCACCAGTGGGTCAGTGTAAGGGATGAGGTTACTGGGCTCAATGTTGACAAGTTTGGTTAGGATAAGCATTGCCATTGAAGGGTTCTCGTGGACTACTGATAGAGCTGTGATGAGAAAAAAAAGTCAAGATATATCAGGGCTATAATGACACTTGCAGAGTACAGGCTTTTATTGATGCTGCTGATTCTGCTGTTCTTATATAAACCTTTTCATTTTTAACAATAATGTGTGCAAACACAGTATACATTAATTTCTATTTCTGCAATTTAAACTTTCCATTTTAGTTACAATATTTTTGYATGTAACATCTAACTTTTCGTATATTTATTTCTTATCACATCATATGCCCACAAACCTGAGTGATTCACATATAGTTTTGGACATATTTGAGTACAAAATCCAGGATTTCACTTCCAGGGGGGAAGGGTACTACGTAACCCTGCCCCTCCCCTCTAAATCTGGTCATGTTAAATGACAATTATTTTGACCTTATCTCTAAAGTAGCTTGGATTCCAAACAACAAATTAAAATGGAGATGAGCAACAGGAGAGTTAAAAATCAAGAACCAGACACTCTTGAAGCCAGCATACCTTCTTTCAGCTTCAAAGGCGAACAGCGCACATTGAGCACACCTGAAACCCCCCGTTTTGCCACGCCCTGCAGGTAAGATTTATCTTGCATTTCTTCCTCGATCAACCACTCATCCACAAGACAAAGGTGTGGATAATGAGTAACGAGCAGGCGAAGAAGAGGAGCATAAAGACCTCGGAATTCTGACTGCCGTGATCTTGCTTGTAGTACGAGGTACTTGATTGGGATATGCGCTAGAAGACCTGTACTGTACGACTCTTGCTGGACCTCAGAATTGACTAGAAAAAATACGCAGTAATTAACAATTATTATTAGATGAAGCTCAGCTTGATATTTTTAATTATTACGACAGAGGCAATGTTGTTTATATGTATATTTTACAACCATCACTTCTGTGAGGTTTAAGCAACACATACTACCCTGACTAAAATCTGTGCGAATATCAAAAGTGCACGGAGCAAAGTTAAAGGTACTTATCACTTCACCATCACTTCACTTCACCATACCTAGAGCTTTCATATTGTTGAGAAGACAGTCTTGGTAGAGGAGTACATAGTATAGCATCAAGAGACGTGAAGTTAAGGAAGATTCCATGTCTTCTCCACCATCGTTTCCCATGTAGACTGATGGCCTTCTGATGAGGGAGGTGCTGTCTGTGTCTGCAGTACCCTGTACATAAAACATGGCTGAATCAGTAGAAGTGGTCTGTGATTAGGGTAAAGGGAGGGGAAAAGAAATTGGAGGATGGAAGAGAAGGGAGAAAGGGGACCCCTCCCTCATTTATGCCATAACTTCAAATAATATAATATTCATGATTTTCATGATTTTGATCAAACCTCACAATAGACACCTTGCATGTGACAGCAAAGCAGCTCAATTTGGAGGACAAAACAAGAATTTTTTAATCTCATGAGAATTGGAGACCTATTGTTATGTCCTCCAAATTGAGCTGCATTCCAACGCACTGCAAGTTTTATTTTATATTGTATTAATACGCAGTACCTTAAATATCGCCAGAATTTCAGCTTCAGTAAAACCTTGTTGAAATGCTTTACTACTTGGGTTGATGATGGAGTTGACATAGACCTCCACAAGTCCTGGCACCAGTGGGTGGAGGGGTGTGATACATGTACATAACTGTCTGTAGACCCAATTCTAAGGGAGAATTAGAAATGAATATCATTCATTGCATTATTGATTGATCCCTTAATACAGATCAGTTCTCTCATCAAACATAATTTTTGTCAAAGACGGGAAGCAGGCCTTATTAGGGAAGGAGGTTATTCATGACCTTGATCTGAATTTTACAACTGCCTATGTCCTAATTTTGGAACATATTGAGTGGCTTGTTGGGATTTACCATTAAAAGATCCTCGCTGCCGGCAAATCATTAGAGCAGTCTGTCGTTTTTCACTAATTTGTGTCTCTTGCAGCTTCAAGGCCACGTTGCATGTCGGAATTTACCCCTAACAGAGCCTTGGGGAAGAGGGTGATTAATCAACAATACAGACCTGGTGCTCATACTGATGATTATAACTTACCTTAACTGGTACATAATGCTTAGTAAAGGCTCGAGATTTAAGCAGCTGATGAATACAGTGGATAGGTAGAAATCCTGTCATGTTGCCGTTCAACTGTGGAGTGACTGGAACTGTCACAGCATGGCTGGTGATAACCTGGTAAAGATTGTAACGTCAGTTTTATTACAGGTACAATGCTTTTCTATTTCAGACCACATGTCATCTCATTCTTTTGGGAATAGCATTTTTCGTTTGAGTTGTTTCCATGATCATTTGTCTTCTCATTCACAACCATTAAACRAAGAAATGATACTCTAGGGAATAACACATGATCTGAAATTGGAAAATAATATACCCAAGGCAAAGAGGTCTTTAGATTTTACCAACCTTTTCTGGGAATAGTTCCTGCGTGAAGAGTGATTTCACTCTACTAAGTGGTCCAGCCTTTGTTTTCATCGACAAAATTGATGAGACAAGTTCAGCAATCGACTCCAGTTGGTTGCTATGGAAATGGATTGAAATCAGTAGCAGGACCTCTCCAAATGATGCGTGCACTCCACTGGCTGTTTCATAGTGTGACTCTTCCTTCGACAGCCATTTGATCAAGTGAATGGCCTTTTGCTCGTGTTCTGGTGTACTAGAAACATGATCACAAAAAAACAAGTAAACTGAAGTGCCTATTACCTTATCACTGTCATAAGCTGCTTTTTCAAGTTCTCCTGTGACCATCTCATGCAGTGACTTTGATCAGCCCAGAATTTGTTTCAAGGTTCGATCTGTGAGTTATCCATGCCCTGACTTAGATCAGCCAAGATTTTGTTTCAGGGTTCGATCTGTGAGTTATTCATGCCCTGACTTAGATCAGCCCAGAGGTTGTTTCAGGGTTCAATAAAATTGAGAGGTCAATCCTCTTACCTGATGATCTGCGGACATGCCAAAAGTGTACACAAACCAATAACAACAAATCTCACACCAGCGGCAGTAGGTGGGGCATGACAAGTGATAAGCGACAATAACACTTCCGTCTCCTCATGAGTCAACTTCATCCCAGCCAGATTCTTAAGCCCACAGTATAACCTCAGTAGTGCACTTGCATGAATTATGTCATCTTCACTGATTTCTAATGACTCAAATGTCTCAACTTCGGGGACAACTGCTAGTGGCTTTTCTTCTTCAACAATCTCAAAGTCGGTACTCATTTGCATTGCTGTCAGTACAATAAATAACAAAAATAAGTAGAATTGCTTGAAAAGAACCCTACAAAATCTTTTTTCATTTTATTATCTTTTTATCACTAAAATAATATTATTTATTTCTAACACCTCTTAGTTGCTACAGATATAAGCCTGTTCCATAAGCAGCTCTACTCATGTAGCTAATTGATGAATTAATTAGGGCAAAGGAGTGGCATAATCAACTGCCGCTCTTTTTTTATTTATAATCTTTGTTTATACCTTGACGCTCAAATCATACGATAACCCTTCTGCAATTCCTGACGATTCATTACCTTCTAAAATTTCCATTGTTTCTCTGTCCTCATGAGTTTCCCCACCACCTGTACTTTCTCCAGCACTGTCTCCTGTTACAATGACGGCATCCTTTTTCATTCTTTTGGGTATAAGAGACGAGACTTCCTTTAAGAGTTGGCTCCTTAAAGCATGTAAAATGGAGCTAGAAGACTAAAAGGAAAAAGCAAAAAAATGGATGAAAACATTAAGTATTAGTATGTTGACAAAATCTTGATCAATAACCCAATAACAAAGAAACTCATTCTCAAGAGCTGAAAAGGTAAAATAATTGTGTATTCATTTGATTACCTTTTGTCCAATCTTAACAAATTCGGCAAACCAGTTTCGTACTTTTAGATTACCTCCCAAAATTAAGCCACTCAAAAATGCTATCAGGTCACCACCACTTCTGTCATTGCTTCTTGCACCGGAGCCAAAGTCCAGCGCCAGCGCAACAGCTAAACCTGGCAAGCAACAGAGTCTTGTTGCTTCTGCCTGCATGACAAGAGCATGAGCTGGATTCATGGTACACAGTTGTCTTAAGGCTTGTGTTCTGATCATTCCTCCTAGACTACTGTCATCTTGGACTTCACCGTTTGAAATTAGTGCAAAGCAAACTGGAAAATGATCATAATAATAAGTGACCAGGGTTAAATACCACCTATACCTCACTAACCAACATAAGGTCCAGTAACTTAGTTGGTTAGAGCGTCTGACTACTGTAGCAAACGGAAGGTCACAGGTTTGAATCTTGCCTGGAGCTCTGAATTTTTTTCTGATCAAAATTTGCTTGAAGAAATGTAATAATAATAATAATAACAACTTTATTTAATGATTGTGGCACTAAATAGTGTACTACACTAATAAACTTGTGGCCCTCCCTCAATATAAAACTACTAATATTTACAAATTTAAAAATATAAAATATATGTAATAACAACTATCATTCACATCTTTGTTAAATATCCAATCACAAAAACATGTCAATAATAATTGTCATTTAATCCTGTTTTTATTATTAATAAGAAACATTACAGAAGCAAGATACTTATTTAGAAGTATACATTTGTCTTTAATGACTAATACCTTGTTCAAACTTGTCAGGAACATTAGCAACCAGTCGGCATAGCAACCAAGGACCATACTTCACCCGTAACAGTGTCTCTGCTACTTGTTCTAAGGGGAGTAGTGAGGGGAGTTCAGCTTGTGCAATGCAGATTACATCTGATACTTCCTCCAGAAATACTTCGCACTGGAAGAGCTCTGATTTCTCTGGGATAAACTCTTCTTTTAAAGATATCTGTGGAAAATACATTTATTAAGTGACTTGATATTAAATTCTGGAGGGAAACTGGAGAACCCAGAGAAAAACCCTCAAAAAAGGAGAGAAACAATCACCAACTTTACTAACATGATACTAAGCTTGAAATTCAAACCACATGTTGCATTGGTGAGAGGCAACCACTTCATCGCTATAAGTACAGAGGTGTGTGATTCTCTCTACTAACCGGAGTACAATCTCATTTTGACCAACTCCTTGCCCTCTCCTCTCTCCTCTTCCCCCTCCCCCCCTCCCAACAGAAATATTATTTTGGAGTATACAAATAAAAAGTTGATACAAAATGAAAGTGTCAAAATAATATTCTATAGTTATTTCATTTTTGCTTGCACACCATGTCATGGCGGCCATGTTGGTGACATCTATCAAAGCATCTCCAACATGGCCGCCACGGCTTTTATTCCCTTGGAAATGTTATCAAACCCTCCATTTACCTTGCTCATTATGCGCAACAGTTCACTAAGAATAAGTCTTAATCTTCGAGACGGTTCGCTCCTTTCAAATTCAAGCGCCAGTTCATTTTGTAAAGACTCCACAAGCACCGAAGCTCCTCCAGCACCTCCGACTTTCCTTCGTAGTTCCTGCTCTTTCGACGCGTCTTGCTCGAGAACGCTAAAATCCACAGACAGCAGAGCGACGATAGAATTAACTACTTCTAATCCCGAGAGGATCTTCTGGATTCCCTTTCTTGCTTCGGTCCAAGAGGGACTTTGATCTACTGGGGAACAAAGCGCCATTCGAACAAGACACGGTAGTAAAGGCCGTAACTCCTTGGTGTCTAGAGCGGAAAGTTCCGTCACACTGGCTGAGCGCATGCTGTTGAATGCCCGTGCTGTTGGAATATCCTGTAACATCTGAATGTTAAGATCCATTTTTATCTTAGATATATTTAAGCTGAAGTACGATCTGTCTTGTAGACTTGAACTACATGTGTTTGTTGTTATGATGGCTTTTAGCTTATCTTTTATGTCCAATCTTTGCAAACTCCAAGCCAAATAATTTAATCACCTGAAATATTTGAGTATCCTTCAGATTAATAACGTTATTCTGGCGCTATTAGATAAAAATTTCAGAGATCTAGCTAGTAGATTTAGTTCACCATAAAACCTTCACTTCGTCCGCCATTTTGTTTTCAGTGACTTGTTTACAGTACTCCTCGAGCTTTAAGCTAAAGGAAGCCCAAACTAATCTAAAGCTAGTGAAACAAAATATAGCATTTTTTTAATGTATTATATGAATTTATTTTTTTTCAAACATTGTGAGAGATGATAGATGTTACAAAAAAGTTTACGAAGGCTTTGATTTTTTTTTATTCAAAATGTATCATAAATCTCGCTCGGGCTTCCTTTACATCGAAGGTTGATTCAAAATGGCGGGAGAAGAAGGTTCAACTTTTGGAAGCACAGATGCCTGCCTTTCTTCACGTTTCTTACAAACCTTGAACGAAATGAGACTGCAAGGAGTATTCTGTGATGTATCACTTAAGGTAGGACAAGAGAATTTCATTGCACATCGCGTAGTTCTTGCTGCAAATTCGCCATATTTCAAAGCGATGTTCGCATCTTCTTTTACCGAAACTGAAAAGTCGGAAATCGTGTTGCGTGAAGTGGAACCCGCCGGAGTCAAGGCTATTTTAAATTATTTCTACACTGCTACTATTGAGCTAGATAGTTCAAACTTCGAAGCTATCTTCGCAACAGCAAATTTATGGCAGGTCGAATTTGTGCTTCAAGCCTGTGAACATTTTCTTGAGCAAGAGCTCTCAACCTCGAACTGTTTGGGGATTCAAATTCTAGTCAATGCTAATTTAACATTCACAGAAAGGCTACGGAAGCTTGTTGATGGATATGTTAATGCTCACTTTATGGAAATTTGCGAGGAAGAAGAAATATTAACGATTCCTAAAGAACATTTTAAATTTCTTCTTGTCAAAGATGAACTCTGCGTAAGTTTTGAGGAATTTCTCTTTGAAAGTGTGTTAAGGTGGCTCAAGCATGATGTTAATATTCGAGGTTGCTATGCAACAGAGTTAATGTCTGCAGTCCGTCTTGGGCTTCTTAGGAAAGATTTTATTCAAGAGATCCTACTTCGAGAAAAAACTATTTTAGAGAATTCAAGTTTAAATCAATTGCTCAACAGTGTCGTTAAGTTTCTCCATGGAGACCAAAGTGTTAAAATATCAGAGTACTTAACAAGGAAAAGAAAGTGCGAAGTGCTTTATGTGTTTGGGGGTTTCTCGAGTAATTCACATCGCTTACGCCCAGCAAAAGCTATAGATTCTGTCGAATTTCTCAATGTGTTGCAAGAAAAGTGGGAAAACTTTCCTGAAGCTAAACTACCTGACGCCAAGGAAACCCAATTTAAGTTGGTGGCTGGTGATGGCTATCTTTATGCTGTTGGTCACAAAATTTTCAGTTTCTGCCTCAAAAGATTGGTGTGGGAAAAGTTGTATCCAAAATCAATGGGATTCAGGCCACTGGACATTAAGAACGCTGGAGTATGCTTCAGTAATGGGTGTATTTATGTTATTGGTGGGGTGAAGGGTGCTCAGAAATTCAATCCTAGTGATTGTACCTGGTATAAGATTTCTTCGTCGAGCAACGGCTTGGTTGAAGAGCATTATCGTCCTGGTGTTTGTGCTCATGACGATGTCATCTATGTGATTGGTGGATGTGACTCTAGTTATAATGATGGTAAAGATTCAGTGGAGAGCTTTGTTGTGGAAAGTGGTGTTTGGCTGAGGAAGGCTTGTATGTGTACTGCAAGATGGGGGCTGGAAGCAATACCTTTGAAGGACAGAATATTTGCTGTTGGAGGTATGTCACCAATAATGACAAACCATATCACCATACTCTGTATGTTAGTCAAGTGTGACACACTCTTACCTCCCACTGCCACAACTCTCATTCGTACACACGTCACTAGAAGTATCAAGTCTCATTTTCATACACTGTGGTTTTTGACTAGTGTTGCTATGGGCTTCTTGATCTTTCTCTGTCCTACAATACATAACCAGTCTTACATATTTGCAAGCCTTATCATGTTAGAACATAAATTAACGTGATTACATAAAACAGGGTAAATCTCTATTTGGTCTGTAAGTATTTCATTTTTAAAAAACCCTTAAATTAGCAGGTATTTCTTTTCTAAAAGGAACATTACGAATTGGCAGCAAATCCAAAAATTGAATCCTTTAGAGTTTTGGTGTGTGTGTGCGGGATGGGGGGGAGGAGTCATGAACGAAATGTAAGCATCAGGGATTCACCTTGTTTACAATTGGTGCAGAGCACAGAAAGGAGAATGATAGTTCTATTTCACTGGCTAAATTTTTATAAAATCTTACATTCTGTCATAAGCTTTTGCAAAATCCCATGTCGTAATGGCATTTCCAATTTTCGTTGTCCTAATTTCTGGTCCCAGTTATGAACCTTGGAAAAATCTCATGTTGGCAAATCTATTTCCCACTACAAGTAACCTACCATAATTTCTGGTCCCAGTAATGAACTTTGGAGAAATCTCATGTTGACAAATCTATTTCCCACTACAAGTAACCTACCATAATTTCTGGTCCTAGTTATGAACCTTGGAGAAATCTTATTTCCAGTGTGTACAAGTGCATCAAATCCCATTTTCCAGTGCAAAAAAAACCGAAGCAAATTCCACTTCCCATTGTATTCCCATGCGACCTTGATACATAGCACTAATAAACATTGCTTTTTTTGAAGGATATAACACAGAAGAAAGATGCGCTTTAAACACAGTTGAAGTATTTACTCCATCAACTGATACCTGGCAGAATACGAGTCCGTTAACTGCTCCAAGGCGACGGTTTGGCAGTGCTGTAGTAAATGGTATGATCTATGTAGTAGGAGGCTATGAAGTAGAAAGTGTGGAATATTATGATGAGGTCAAAGAAAGGTGGGTGGTTGTTAATGGGCTTACTATTAATAGATTTGACTGTTCTTGTTGGTCTATGCAACCACCAAACTGCCTATAGCTTTAAGAAATATTAATATTATTATTAAAGACCTTGTATAAATACCACTGTAGTGTTCCTTGATTACAAATTCATTTACTCAGGGTTAGCCTAAGTTTAGCATCAGAATAGACCTCCTCGGCTCGGGTGTTATGTTGTCCCATTTCAGACCATGTGTCATTCCCTTGCATATCCTTTCTTTGTTTAACAGTTGCGTTCAGCAATAAAGAATCTCATTCTCAAGGGATTGACACATGGTCTAAAATGGGAAACATTATGCCCAAGCCGAGGAGGTCTATATTTACAAATAACGATGGCAAATCAAAGAATGCACAACGTCAATGATAGAGAATAAATGCTTTTCCCACGGACCTTATTCATCACCTGAGTATTCTTCAAAAAGTAGAGGCTAACTCGGAGGAACAGATAATTCAAAAATGGAGATTTTTGCCTGTCATCACTGCCTTGTAGTATACCGTGTTATCTATTTTGGAAAAACCTGGGATTTAAATTAGTTGGAATCTTGGAAATACTCTAAAGACAAGCAAAGAATTATTCAAGGATTTGAAAATCAGACAGGAAGTTGAATACAAGAGGTTACATCTCAGTTACCAGCTAGGGAGAGAAGGATAATTCCAGAGGTTTTT